ATGCAAATTGACCCTAACAGCATAACGACTGGGAATGACTGGTCACTATGACACACACTGACCACCAGGGGGCAGACGCTCAATGCAGGAGCTGTCCCCTGGTGGTCAGTGCGCTCCCACAGGGGGAGCTCTGCTCAGCCACAAGCCAGGCTGACGGCTGCCAGTACAGTGGTGGTGGTGGGAGCCTCTCCCACCTCCTCAGCAGCGCTAAGGATGTCTGACTGCACCTTAGGCCTGCTCCCTGCTGGCAAGTGGACATTCCCTGAGGGCTCCTGGTCTGCCAGAGGGATGTCTGACTGCCAGCTTAGGCCCAAACCCCTGGGGAGCGGGCCTAAGCCAGCAGGTGGTCATCCCCCAAGGGGTCCCAGACTGCGAGAGAGCACAGGCCGGGCTGAGGGACCCCGCCGAGTGCACACATTTTTGTGCACCGGGCCTCCAGTAATAATAATAAAATAAGGAATTAATTTAAAATATCCTCTTAAAGCCCTAGCCGGTTTGGCTCAGTGGATAGAGCATCTGCCTGCGGACTGAAGAGTCCCAGGTTCGGTTCCAGTTAAGGGCACATGCCTGGGTTGTGGGCTCGATCCCTAGTATGGGGCGGGCAGGTGGCAGCCGATCAGTGATTTTCTCTTATTGATGTTTCTATCTCTCCCTTCCTCTCTGAAATCAATTTTTAAAAAATCCTCTTAAAAAATGTAAAGTTCCTTAAGGAATTTATAGTCTTAAAGGAAATATATATACACATTAAAAATCCTCACAGAAGAAAAATCATGGGTGAACTAATATAATACTTTCTGGGGTCTTTCTTGACTTTCCTAAGACAGAAGGTTGGTGGGCTATCATTGGGCTTAAATTTTTTTTTTTAAATAAGCTTTTTGTTGCTTGTGTGGAATAGTGTCTACTTGCTCTCTCTTAATAGCAATGAGCAAAATTTCTCTCCACTGAGTGCAGAACTTCTTTGTATAAATGTACCATATAGAATACTGTTTTCAGATGGACCAGTTGATCTTTCCCAAAGATTAAAACATAAAGAATATTTCAAATTAACCTGTGAATTATTCAGTGGTTAACATTATTTAATGGTTCAAATATGATGGCCCCTGTGTCTATAAAATAAATACTTGAGATATTAATTCTGAGATATTCAGCTTTAAGAAAATGCTCTTGATGAGAAGAGAGATCTAGTTTCCACTTGTTGCAGAGGTTTATCCTACTTATCTAAAGTTAGAATCAGTAATAATCTTTATGGTTTTGAATAGCTATACTCAAATCTCTGTTATGCAAAATAACCGATTTACCTGTGTTTTCCTAAACTTAAACAATGAAGCCATTCTCACTCTCATTTTATTTTCTTCCCACATGGGAATACCTTCTAACTTTTCATTCCTCTTTATCCACCATCTTTAGAAATTGAATTTTAGGTGCTACAGTTATCCTAAAATATTAATCTCAGTAATCACAAAAATAATATTTGTTTTGTCCTGGCCAGTGTGGCTCAGTTGGTTGGAGTATCTTCCTGTATGCCAAAAGGTGGTGCATTCGATCCCAGTCAGGGCACATACCTAGGTTGCGGGTTCCATCCCCAGTCCATGTGCTTACGGGAGGTGGAGGCAACCTATTGATGTTTCTCTCACCTCTCTCTCCTCTCCCTTCCTCTCTCTAAAATAAAATAAATTTTGCTTTATTTATAGGTATTGCTGTTTTCCAGTGAGGAATAGTAGTAAAAGTATTTTATTTACTTTTTGGCTGATACAAAGAAAAGATTATAAGTTTCTCTGTAAAAATGGAGATGTTTCCTTCCATGTTTGTTTAACTTCTTGGCAGAGCTGATTGGGCTAATGTGCAAACTGGGAATACATTTCTGTGATGTCAGCTGAGTTTTGTATGCATTTCTGTGCCACTCAGGTGTTAAGGCACTAATAATAGATTGTCAGTGTAAAAGAAAAGAAGAAATATCAAATAAATACTAAAAGCCATTGTAATCTGCATAGAAATGGAAGTATGTTCCAGGTGAAGTTCTGCTGAGTAGAGAGTAGTCAGTATTTCCTTCTACTAGGAAATTCTACCTGGGAGAAGAAGAATGGAGATGGGAGACATGGAAGGTTTCAAAAGAATGTAGAGAGGGTGACATTTGCATAGAATTTTAATGACTGGCTAGTCAGGTGGACAAGATGAAGCAAACATTTCACACAAGTCATAGAATTGTGGATTAGTTGGTGTGTTTGGGGGGTTACAGGTTGTTGGATATTCCTGAAGCAGAGTGAAAGGCATGACACTGGAGAGGTATGTCAGTGTAGTTAGTGGAAATTTCTTTTAAAGGGAATAGAAAGGGCCATCATAAAAATAGAGCAGGTAAATGTTGATCTTTAGAATCCTATTATATTGCTGTAGCAATTGTTTTTGCCTTGAGATAACAGTAGCTCCACAATGTGTATGAATTTCACATGCCTGAATTAACGCAACAGTAGTTTTTTTGTAACATGAGAAAGGAAAGAATACTTGTGAAGTATTTTGTTGATTCTGTACTTGATTATTTGGGATATAAGACAGAGGGTTAGGATCCTAGAGAAACTTGCAGTTTGCAAAAATGTTTATTACAGCATTTGTTTCCAACAGTGAAAAATTAGAAACAAACTAAATGCCATCAGCAAGAGAATGGATAAATTGCAGTGTATTAAAAAAATGGTATATTACTCAAATGAATGAGCTGGGTGTATTAGCATGGATATATGTAAACCAACATTGAACCTAATAAAAATATTTCAGGGCAAAACATAAGTAAGCTAGGATTTAAAGTTTTAAATTATGTAAAATGAACTATATATAATTTATAGGATATACATATATGGCAAACATCTGTGAAAAGGAACGCAATGATAAATACCAAATACAGAGTAGAATGTTTCTGGGAGAGAGAGAGGAGCATGGGATTGGGATAGGGCAGTGATGGCAAACCTATGACACGCGTGTCAGAGGTAACACGCAAACTCATTTTTTTGGTTGATTTTTCTTTGTTAAATGGCATTTAAATATATAAAATAAATATAAAAAATGTAAGTCTTTGTTTTAATATGGTTGCAAATATCAAAAAATTTCTATATGTGACACGGCACCAGAGTTAAGTTAGGGTTTTTCAAAATGCTGTCATGCCGAGCTCAAAAGGTTCGCCATCACTGGAATAGGGTACCAGGTGGCTTCAGCTGTATACATAAGAATATATATAGTGTGTCCATAGGTTTTTAGTATACACACACATCTTGTCCATAGGTTTTTAGTATACACACACACACACACACACACACTCTCTCTCTAGAGGCCCGGTGCACAAAATTCGTGCACTGGGGGGGAGCCCTCAGCCTGGCCTGCGTCGCTTCTTACTGCCCATCTGCTTGCTGCTCCTTACCCCTTGGCTCACTGCTCCTTAGCACTGCCACTGCCGTGGAGGCGGGAGAGGTTCCTGTCACTGCCGCTGTGCTCGCCAGCTGTGAGTCTGGCTTCTGGCTGAGTGGTTGTCCCCCTGTGGGACTGCACTGACCACCAGGGGGCAGCTCCTGCATTGAGTGTCGGCCTCCTGGTGGTCAGTGTGCATCATAGCAACTGGTCGTTCCGCCCTTTGGTCAATTTGCATACTAGTATTAGACTTTTATTATATAGAATATATGCTAGAGGCCCGATGCACAAAATTCGTGCTAGAGTAGGCCTTCCCAGCTGCGGCGGCTGCCTCCATCCCACCCTTACAGCCATGGCTGCCTTGATCCTGGGGCTGCAGCCCTGGCTTCGTCCGGAAGGACGTCCGGTCTAATTAGTATATTACATTTTTATTATTATAGATTCTTTAGTATAATGCCTGGAACTAAATAAGACAAAATATTAAAAATTTGTGAAAGTTGGGTAGTAGGTACTCAGATGTTTTATTATTCTTGACATTTTTCTGGAAACATAAGAAAAAGAAGGGTTAGAAAAGTTGATGGACAGACATGAACAGCTATAACAATAAAGAAAGCTAAGCTTGGCCCTGGCCAGTGTGGTTCCTTGGTTGGAATGTCATCCCATACACCAAATGGTGGCAGGTTCAATTCCCAGTCAGGACACATACCCAGGTTGTGGGTTCAATTTCTGGTCCGGGCGAGTGCAGGAGGCAACCGGTGTTTCCCCCTCCCTTCCTTTCTCCCTTCCTCTGTATAAAAATCAAATAAAAAAAATAAAATGACAATAGCTTTAAATAAATATTAAAAAAAGAAAACTAAGTTTGCCAGGTTAAGAATGAGCATGGCAGATGCTGAAGGTTGTGTGAGGTGAGAGGAGATAATACTTGATTGAGTAGAGCAGTGGTCGGCAAACCGCGGCTTGCGAGCCACATGCGGCTCTTTGGCCCCTTGAGTGTGGCTCTTCCACAAAATACCACGTGCGGGTGCGCACATACCGTGCGATTGAAACTTCATGGCCCATGCACAGAAGTGGGTTTTCGGCCTGGGCGAGTCTATTTTGAAGAAGTGGCGTTAGAAGAAGTGGGAGGTGTCGGTTGGTTGGGCAACGGGAGACTCGGCGCAGGCGGGCTGTGGGATACACAGAGCGGGGGAGGTACATTGTTTTGAGGTACATTTGCTGAGGTCGACCCCTTCCAACTCTCCCATCCACACTCATCTATCTGAAACAAGTATACAAGACGAGTGTGGATGGGAGAGTTGGAAGGGGTCGACCTCAGTGAACGTACCTCAATCAGATTGAGGATGTTTTTAGCAAAGGCCAGCTTAGGAGTAGCCTAATTAAGTTAATAACAGTGTACCTACCTATATAGTTTAAGTTTAAAAAATTTGGCTCTCAAAAGAAATTTCAGTCGTCGTACTGTTGATATTTGGCTCTGTTGACTAATGAGTTTGCTGACCACTGGAGTAGAGTATTGGTGACTATAGAGTGGAAAGTGGGTGAGAACTGAACATGTCTAACTCATTTTAGCTGATGTTTTTTCTCATGATTTTTTTTCTTATTTTTAGAGAAATATGAAACGCAATGGGAGCAGAAATTGTTTGAATAGGAGAAGTAGGTTTGGTTCTCGAGAAAGAGACTGGCTGAGAGAAGATGTGAAGAGAGGCTGTGTTTACCTTTATGGAGCAGACACGACCACTGCCACTACAACCGCCACCTCCTCTGCCTCCTCCTCCTCCGCCTCCTCCTCATCCTCCGACTTACATCTTGTCCTTTGCACAGTAGAGACTCCAGCATCAGAAATATGTGCTGGAGAGGGAAGGGAAAGTCTTTATTTACAGTTGCATGGAGACCTGGTCAGGTAAGGTTTGAGTCTTACCACTGATTCTATTGCAGTGTAAGCAGTCCACGTTTCTGCTTGGAAGTGCGCTTTAGGGCTTTAATTGTGCTGGAACTGATGTTGATTATGCTGTCACTAGGCTTGAAAGAGGTTTTTCCTTGGAATGCTGATGTTATCATTCTTAAATTTAAAAACTGTCAGTGAAGGAAAATTTGAAGTTACCTCATTTGGATTAAACAATAAGTCAGACATCTAAATTTAAAATAAATATTTTAAGAGTTTTTTTAGCCCTGGCCCAGTATCTCAGTTGGTTAGAGTGTCATCCCAACAAGCCAAGGTTGCGGATTTGATCCCTGATCAGGGCACATACAACAAGAAACAACCAATGGATGCATAAGTAAGTGAAACAAAATCGGTTTCTCTCTCAAATCAATAAATAAAAATGAAAAAAAATACATGTAAATAGAATGAAATTGAAATACATAAAAGGAAATAGAGTGAATAGTATATATGCTCATGCATGAGTATGTTGCTGTTTACATATACATTTTAAAACTAATGGTGCTTTACATAACATGTTGATTTAATATTATTTAGAGATCTTTCCATATTAGTATTTATAGTTTTCATTTATTTAATGGCTGCATGGTCTACCATAATTTTATGAGTCTACCATTTTATGAGTTTACCATACTTATAGCCAATCTCCTATTAATGGGCATTCAGATTGTTACTATTTTTTTTACTTCTATAATCAGAGCTGCAGTGAATATCCTTGTACCTATAATATTTCTCCTATGTGGGAGTCAGCTGTAGGATAAATTCCTGGAAGTTGAATTGCTGATCAAAGGATATGTGCACTTATAATTTTGATATGGATAGTCAAATTCCTCCTTATAGAAGTTATACGTTGATGAATAACGTAAAAATATATCTATCTCCCTCTTATTTTTATATAAATGTAGACACATAGTCATGTATGAACACATCCTTGCTGTGAATAGAAATGATTGTCAGCAGTTTTTAAATTAGAGAATCATAAAGTCAACATTCCAAGGAAAAATCTTTTTTCAACCCTAATGACTTAAATTCTTGCAAATTTTTTGGGAATTTTGTTATTCTGTTGCTTTAATTTTTATTTTAATGAGTGAAGTTGAACATATTTTCATAGGTTTTTAGGCCATTTATGTTGTTTTTTTTAAAAAATACATTTTTATTGATTTCAGAGAGGAAGGGAGAGGGAGAGAGCGATAGAAACATCAATAATGAGAGAGAATCATTGGTTGGCTGCCTGCTGCCCGACCTACACTGGGGATCTAGCCTACAACCTGGGCATGTGCCCTGACCAGCAATTGAACCATAACCTCCTGGTTCATAGATTGATGCTCAACCACTGAGCTACACCGGCCTGGCCATTTATGTTTTCTTTAAAAATCTTTATATGAAGAAGAAAAGTATTCTCATAATAGTCTTTTTTTCTCTCATAATAGTCTTATACTGTGCATATGCAATCTTTGATTTTATTTATTTATTTATTTATTTATTTATTTATTTAACAAATTACTATTCTTTGAATTAGATGTCAAATGGCTCTTTGTATCTTGTTACCGGAAAGAGGAACTGGCCCTTGGTGGGTCTGCCTAGGGTCAGTGGGTAGTGTGTGGCTTCTTGACTTCATGCAGGAAAAATTTCACAATACAATTCCAGGTAACTGTGAGGGAATATTTACTAGAGCTGGGGATAGTAAAGGGCTTAGCACAGCAGAAGCAACAGGAGCGCCTAGGCTGTGCTGCCTTAGGTCTCTGGGAAGTCAGAGAAAAGGGGGCCTTGGGGACAGGTTCAGGGGACTAGCCTGCAAGGAGTTGCCACTGCCCATCGCTCCCCTGATTGCAAGGCTTGCTGGGTCCTTTGGAGTTTAGGAGGTACATGCCTGTGGGGGAAGGAGAAGGGAAAGGGGATGTCAGGTGCTGCTCCCCAGAGGGAGAGAGCGCACTGGGTCCTCTGTCTTTACCTCTTCTGCAGGTGGGAGTCTTAGGGGAGGTGTCAGGAGGGGAGGGTTTCAGCAGAGCATGCATCAGTTTTCTAGGAGTGCTCCTTCAGGGTGGGATCTCCACTGATTGGTCAGTGTCAGGGCAGGGGATCATTATCATTGCAGCTGGTCCTAGTGTCATCCATCTGGTTTTGCTGCTTTTCTGGGTCTGGAGCTGACATACAACTGAGTCCTAGAGGTTATTTCTAGGGAGGTGACCATTTGTATCTGCTGTAAATTGCTCTGCCAGTTTGTTCAGCTATCCGTCTCAGTTTCCCTGTTCCACTTGTCCTAGCTTACTGGCCTATCAGCCTGACCCATGATTTTCTCCTCCCCCTTCTCTGTAATAAATAAATACCTTAAAATAATTAAAAACTGTGGATTCAGCTTGAAAGTGAGAAAGGAAGCTTCCACTTATACCTTAAATGTGGTAATGATAGTAACACCTTTAACTGAGCTAAAAATTGATGTCATTTTTAAAAATCTAAACTGAGGTTTAGTATGTGTTCCTTTTAGGATTTGGACTAATTCCTGAAAAAGATTAGCATTTGAATGTTTTCCTTGTTCACCAGTTAACTACATTTCCTAAATCCATTTGTAAAATGAAAGGATCAGACAGGGTGATCCTTAGGCTCTTCTAAATCTTAATACTGATTCTGATCTAATTTTATCAGGTGGAAAGCCTTGACCTACATATTGCTGGTAGTGGTTGATGGAGTTGATATATTTAAACATAAGACTTACTCATTTGTATACTAGTGTGTATGCATACAAAGATATTAACAATGTAGAGGAAACCCCACTTGAATTGGCTTACTAGTTAATTAAGAATTCAAATGTGATGGTCTGATGGATGCTTCTCTGTCTCTGGATCTGTTTTTGTTCATCAGTTTATGTTGTTCATTATAAACCTCAGAGGGAAGGCAGGAGAGGGTGAGGGTAAGGGGGAGAGATCAACCAAAGGACTTGTATGCATGCATATAAGCCTAACCAATGGATACAGACACCAGGAGGGTGAGGGCATGAGCCGGGGTGGGGATGGGGGGACAATGCGGGATAAGGACACATATGTAATACCTTAATCAATAAAGAAAAGAAAAAAGTAGGAAAAAGAAGAATCCAAATGTGATGTAATTTACTTTTGTGAATCTAAACTACTTACAGTGGAGAGTTTGCCTCTTTTTAGCCTTGTGGCTTGATAATTTTATAATTATTGAAGATATAATTGATTGGAAAATAATGAAAACACTATTGAACTGTGGTTTGAAAAAAAATGAATGTATTTTCATTGCTGAAGTAGGAGCTCAAGATGTTTCATTCAGCCAAAGAATGATGATGATGATGATGATGATGATGATGATGATAGATTTTAGCTGACATTAAGTGCTTTCTTTTGCTATCAGTGTGTTTACTTTACACATTTTTTCATTAAATCCTCACAACTCCAAGGGAGGTAATATATCATTCCTTTCAAATGAGGAAAATTGAGGCTTTGTGAGAGGTCTGGCAACCTGTTCAAGGTCAGGGAGGTACTGCAGGCAGTTGGAATGGCCTAAATCATTCAAGATTGATGGTGGACTTTGTTCTGAGTAGAGGCCCTCCCGGGGAGAAACTGGCATGGTGTCCCTTACTCAGTTGCACTATTTAATCATACTTATTTAAAGATCATTTTTAACTGCCTTATTCAACGGTTAATTGCTTGAGTTCAGTCATACATTATCTAATTAGAGGAAAAGGTACTTTCTTCATAATGGACCACTTTTTGCTGCTTACTGAAGTATAATAGGTATTCATTGTAGAAATTTTAGAAAAAATGAAAAAGTGTAAAGAGAAATAATTTTTAATGGTTAATGATTGTAGATAATGTCATTTAATCCTCACAACAATCTCGTGAGGTAAATATAATTCACATTTTGCCCTAACCGGAAATGAGGTTTAGAATGAGGTTTAGAAAGGTCACCTAAGATCACTGGGCTATATATAAGTGGTAGAGCTGGAATTTGAACTCTGGCATTCTGACACCAGATCCCATATATTGCCTACCCATGGTAACATTTTTTTCCCCAGATTTTTTTGAAAGTGAGGGTGTGTATAACTTAAAAATTACATACTGTATTTGAGCCTGGCTGGTGTAGTTCAGTGGTTGGCATCAACCTATAAACCCAGGAGGTCACGGTTAGATTCCAGGTTGTGGGGAGTGTGCAGGAGGCAGCCAATCAATGATTCTCTCTCATCATTGATGTTTCTTTCTTCCCCTTCCTCTTTGAAATCAATTAAATTTTTTTAAAAAAAATTACATATTTAGGGCCATACCATATATTCAATTTTATTTACTGCTTCAATTAATTTTGTGTCATTAAAAATTCCTTAGATACCAGTTTTTTGTTGTTTTTAAAATTTTAAAATTTATTTATTGATTTTAGAGAGGAGGGAGGGAGAGACAGAGAGAAACATTGATTTTTTTGTTCTACTTATTTATGCTTTCATTGGTTGATTCTTGTATGTGCCTTGACTGGGGATAGAACCCACAACCTTGGCATTTTGGAACAGTGCTCTAACCAAATGCAGTTTCTGGCCAAGCAGTTTTAATTGCTACAGAATATTCCATTTTATGGAGATACTGTTTTAAAATTGAGAAATAATATGCAATAATGGTTGAGCTTGGATTTTGGAATGAGAGTGCGTGGGTTTAGATCCTGGCTCTGACATTTACTATACAAGTTACATAATGCTCTGCCTTAGTTTACTAATCTGTAAAAGGAAGAATTATATTATTTACATTATAGAGTTGTCTTAAGGATAAATTATACATGTTATGAAGATTAAATAAATTAATAGTTATCAAGTAGTGTTTCTTAAACTCCAGTGTCACCTGGGGAGCTTGCTAAAATACAGATTCTGATTCAGTAGGTCTGGGGTGGGGCCAGAAATTTTGTATTAGGCTCTTTAGTGATGTGCTACACTTAGAGGAGCAAGGAAGTAAAGTACTTAG